TATGATAGAGGCTAAGACATTCACTAGCACAGTGACTAAAGAAAAACTAAACATACATGGACCAAACAAAACGTACAAAACAGAGAATGTGATTTATCTCATCACATGTAAGATCTGTGGCCTTCAGTACGTCGGAGAAACTAAAAAGCTACACAAAAGGATAAACCTTCATAGATCTGATTGGATGACAAAAAAGCTGTACAGAAGTCCGGTTGTTGTTCTCCTCCCCTCGCCACACTTTCAGTGATATAATGTTTATCGCTATTGCTAACAACCACAGCTGGAGTTCCGAAACCAGGAAGGAAAAGGAATCATACTGGATACGCCGCCTTAGAACATTGAAACCAAGCGGTCTAAACCAAGAAGACTAGAAAATGAAAACTATGCACTAGTAGAATTTAACATTTTCTAAATCTTCTTATTATCCTTCAATTTTTACTAAAAGAATAACCGGCATAGAATCAAATATCCGGGATATAATCTGCGTTACATAAATGTACAAAAAGTAAAAATAGATGTCGCTTTGGCTTGTAGACTTTTAGGGAATTATACACCGTTTTCAGTTTCCGCAACTAGTCTATATAAGCTGGTTGTATTTATAGTTTTAACACATGTGGAGACAGCCATGTAGAGGTTTACAAACACAACGTTTTTGTGTTTATTTGTCGTATATATGTTTTGTATTTGCCTTTGAAAAAGACTCATTATGAGTCGAAAGCGCTTAGGCTAGTTAGTTACTAGTTTCGTACTGTTCGTCGTCAGTTTATTGCATCTATTTTAATCAATCCCTAACACACGTTATCCCTTGGTGGATCCAGTACGGCTGAAAGGGTTGTTATTCGCCATATGATTTGTATTCTTTATATATATATATATATATATATATATATATATATATATATATATATATATATATATATATATATATATATATATATATATATATATGTATGTATGTATGTGTGTGTGTGTGTGTGTGTGTGTGTGTGTAAGAGTGTCTGAGAAGCTTAAGAAAACACTTTTAAATCATGTATTGAGAAGTCCAGTGTTTGCCCGTAGTTGTTTATCTTTTCTATTACATAATTTTAATAGTATATGGTTTCCAATTAGGTTCAAGATTTTATCTGATAAAATATCTCAGCGCCAATAACGTGGTATTATGTTCTATCCTAAACTAAGCCATCTTGCTGTGAAAACAATCTCACCATTTTTGTCGATAATGTTAATTTTTGACGTATTTTCTAATTTTAAGATATAAATATTTTATTATCATAATGATAAATTCTTTGGTATTAACAATTAAAAAATCTTAATGCCAAAAATCAACTTATGAAGCTGTAATGATCAAAATAAGCATGATTTTATCGTTCGATAGTGCATGAAAAGTAAGATGGTATGAACAAAACAGGGCACTTAACGTTTGCGAGATCTGCAATATCACGGTTCAAGTAGATAAGAACTGTTTGCTTTGATCGAATGCTTGAAAACAAAGAGAGCACTTTCGTATGGTACTTATATCACAGAGTTGTTTATAGTACGTTGTTACAAAACAGTCTTATAATAATATATTCTTTTCTTATAGGCGGGTCACCGTTCTTGGCCTTTGTAAAGGTTTCGTGACAATGATATCAATATATTTTGGCGAAAAATTTTGAATAAAGGTCTATTTTGGTATTGTTGAGCTAAGTATATACAATTTATTGGGAGAATATTATTTGTACTTTGTTTCATAGCATATATAAAGGGTAATACTATCAAACGATGACTAAGCTGATTTTGTTGGATTGCAGTGTTTATGCATATTCATGTATATACAACACATACATGCCAACCTACATATCTACTAACCTACCTACCTACCTGCTTGCTTGCCTGCCTAGATACCTTTATATCTACCTACAATACATCCATCCATACTTCCATACATACATACATACATACATACATACATACATACATACATACATACATACATACATACATACATACATACGCACGCACACACACACATACATACATACATACATACATACATACATACATACATACATACATACACATCCATCCATCCATCCATCCATCCATCCATCCATCCATACATACATACATACATACATACATACATACATACATACATACATACATACATACATACATACTTACTTACATACATACATACATACATACATACATACATACATACATACATACATACATACATACATACATACATACATACATACATACATACATACATACATACATACATACATACATACATACATACATACATACATACGCTACAAGTATAGTACTTCCGTTAACAGCAGGAGGAATATGCAGTCACCTACATGCATTGTCAAAAGAAAGCTTTTATCTTTAGGTTACTGAGCTTTGTTTCTTTCTTGTTTCTTTTTATAAAAATATATTTCTTGTTATCACTTTAGTCCTCGTCTAAATGAAAATTGCCGATAGTACAGTGTGGTATATCGGACTTATAAGGACTTTGTCTTTGCCACATGAAGTGAACTCTTGTAAGCATCCTCTAAACAACTTTTAAGTATACGACAGTGACATGAACTTGCCCGAAACATACTCCCGTAGATAATATTACATTATACAGCAGACATACTTTGCTCCAAAGGTCAAATCGTTTTGTAGATTAAAAAGTTTGAATGACAGATTTTCAGATGCGACAGCACTACAATAATGATAAAATATAAGCAAGCAAAACGAAAGACAACAGTGGTTTGCCACCACAAATGCCATTGGTCGCCACTGTATACTTCAAAGTCGTTTCACCCCTCCCGCCACCAACAATGCGCAGCGACTTCAGCGAAAATGCGTCACATATTTAATGCTTTTGTTTATGCAATGGCTGCATATAAACACTTCTGTCATAATATATTTGAACATGATGTTCACATTTAGTAAATTTGACCTTTCACACCCACCCCTCTCATTAGGGCACGGGAACCAATAATAAAAATCGCAAACTCGTTCCCCGAGTTACGACAAGGGCAACATGTCTGCAAAGTTTCTTGTCTACAACATGTCTACAAAGTTTCTTGTCTACAACATGTCTACAAAGTTTCTTGACTACATGTCTACAAAGATTCTTGAATTTCCATAGTGGTTTAGGAGATGTTAAAACGACATTAAGTTGCGAATGTATTTACAGTAGAAGACGACCATTCTTAGTCTAAAAAGGAAAGTTGGCCGAAATTCTAAGACAGAGCATGAGGCACGTTTTTATCTATAGATCCCTGTACGAAGTCTGCTTTGCTCTTCCATGGTTTGGGTTGTTTTCAAAAGATTACACGACTCATAATAAGAAAATTAAGATCTAAACATTATACATATTCATATATCATAATATTATTAAATGTTTTCCCACCAACCTGTTATAATTCCTCGGTACATGATTTTTTTTAATAGACCTTCAAGTGGCTGATTTTTCTCGGTTGAATAGAAGCAGTTCAAACAGTTAAAGTATGACTGACCTTGAAAGTAAATAAGGATTGTTAAAAAAAATATCAATATAATAAATCGAGTAAAATAGCGTACATAGAGTCGTACTCTTTTAAATAAAATGATGTGTAATTTTTGCATGCCAGCTTAGCGTTTGAAATGGTAAATCTGTACGTACATCTTTAAATATTGTGTCAGCTAATAACCATATCGAAAATGTGCAATAGGTATAATTTCTAAATTAACCAACCACATGGACACAGTATTTGATTGTTTTGTTTTTGCCGCATAGCATATGGTTCTCTCTCTCTCTCTCTCTCTCTCTCTCTCTCTCTCTCTCTCTCTCTCTCTCTCTCTCTCTCTCTCTCTCTCTCTCTCTCACACATATATATATATATATATATATATATATATATATATATATATATATATATATATATATATATATATATATTCTTGTCTTTATTTAAATCATTGCCATGTGAAAGATATAAATAATCAAAATCTTCTATTAATAGTATTCTATAACGTTGTATCTTCATGCAGTAAGGCGAATATTCACAGTCTTCTTTCTTACCACAAATAAAATGCTTTAAGATCAGAAAATGTACTAAATATAACAGCTTTACCCCACACAACAATAGATCTCTATATACGAAACATCACGGGGCGGATATGTTGTGTTTAGCATTACACGACACGTCTAGTTACAAGAGTTATGTATTTTGATTCAATGGCAAACTTAGGAACGCTCGAGCTGGCATAGTCTATGACTAGAGAAGTAAGACTCCAAAAGTGGTAAATTCAGAATGAATTTATTAGCTGTTTATTGTCAATCTCATTTCTGGTATTTGGTAAGTATATTTTAATATGTTTGATGTTATGATTGTTATGGGAAATAAGTGAAGGCCAAAGTCAGAAAAAAAACTGTAAATGATTATAGTGCAAAATTACGAGACACAACCGGTTACAGGACATAACTAATGTATTTATTGGTGGAATAAGAAATGCACGAACTGGTTTTAGGGCTCAAAAGTAGCCATTAAAATTACTTACTAATACCGTATAGTATATTTTAATATATTTTCTATCATGACTGTTCAAGATTATACAAAATGTGTGAAGGTAAAAGTCAGAAACAATAGTGTGTGTGTGTGTCTGTGTGTGTGATTTGGATTTTTAACGCAGCTTTAACAATTTTTTCAGTCCTATCGCTACGATATCTGCAGTGGGGCAGTTTATAGTGATGTCTAGCACTGGGGCATCATGCCGCAAACATGTAGAATGGCGTCCCACCCAGTATCATTATCCTGACACCAGGCGGACAAGTCCTAACAGTCATATTGCTACGATGTCTTCTGCAGTGTGGCAGTTTATAGTAATGTCTAGCACTGGGGCATCATGTCGCAAACATGTAGAATGGTGTCCCACCCAGTATCTTGACACCAGGCGACAAGTCCTAACAGTAACCTCTTAATATTGAGCGTCTAGAGAGGCAACTGTTAGTACCATTTTTATAAGTCTTTGGTTTGACTGGGCTGGGGTTCAAACCCACGACCTCCTACATCTGAGGCGGATGCTCTAACCACTTGACCAACAGAGGTCCAGAAACAATAGTAAACCTTTAAGTCATCCTGTATTTCCAATAACATCTTTACCTCGTCATTTAGAGAGAAAGCCTTGATTACAGATAATTTGTTTCATTTCGTGTGGAATTAAATGAGACTAGTAAAAAAAATAGATTGACCTGACCCTGTTGAGTTTGTTTCTCATATATATATATATATATATATATATATATATATATATATATATATATATATATATATATATATATATATATATATATATATATATAATGATATGAGCAAAAAGGGCGTTCAATAAACAATGAGCTCTTTCCTCCACACATATTGTGGCTTACTTTAATTTATCCAATATATTTTGGTGGGCAACAAATGCAAGTGAAGTATCAGGTCATTAAATATGAGCAACGTAAAAAAGGCCTTGTCAAAATACCATTAAAAGCAAACATGCATCTGCATCGAAAGCGATCGGATTTGAGCAAATTTGCTGCCTGATGTAAACAACTATGGTATTTGTACAATTTAAAGAAAACAAATTGCTGTCCATGTACAAGATATATAACTTTCCTTCACAGCCTAAAATGTAAGAAAAAAGATTCCACTTTCCGCGCCAATAGCGATGTGATCGTATCACCCGATGATCACATGTCCCATTTCTAACCCCCTTACCCCAATGCATTAGGGTTTACTGGGACATTACTTGCTTAGAATTTGAATCCTCTCTTCTATTTTCGTTTATTGAGAAAGAAGGCATAATTATTGTCCACAAAGATAAACAAAATAATGATTAAATAACACGTCGTGTCTGTCTGTCTGTCCATGTATATAAAATATTAATTATTTCATTTCGTGCATTTCCGTGGTTATTTTCATGCTTTTAAGTGCTGCTATGCGTCTTTAGATATTCGTAGTACTTTTATGATATTGAGATATACTTTCAAAAGAAATTTAAGGATTGTTTTTAAAGTTATGATCGTATCGTCCTCTCAGAGATAGCAAAGGAAGAGGAACTTTACGAGGAGAAGCTATAAGGTGGAAAAGTAACCAGATAGCTAATAATGAATAAGCGTGTACATTCTGCTTTGATGCCCAATTCGTAGTTTGAGTAGGCACGCTTCAGGAACGACTGTTTTGACAAAAGACATATTTGACTGTTTTAACACGTACTTTATAGTTTGAGTAGGCACGCTACTCGTAAGACTATTTTGAAGTGTACTTTGTACCTCGAGTTAGCATACTTCAAGTGTTACTGATTCGCTGCGTACTTTGTAGTTGGAGTAGACGCGTTGCAGATGACTATTTTTATGCGTACTTAGTTCGCTGAGGCAAGCTACACGTGTGACTATTTTGATGTGTACTTTGTAACTTGAGTAGGCACGCTACACGCATGAGTTTTGACACCTACTTTGTAACTGAGTAAGCACGCTTCACTTATGACTGTTTCAATGCATACTTTGTTGTTCGAAAAGCCACACTACACGTGCGACTGTTTACCAGTGGACACCACGAAAATTACAGCAACAGCAACGTAACCATCATAACGTCAGCGGAATCGAATCATCGTTAATGACATCACATAATAATAATAATAATAATAATAATAATAATAATAATAATAATAATAATAATAATAATAATAATAATATCACAAGAAGTAAAGCAACAGCAATCCAACGACGATATACAACTCTATATTTTGTTGGAATCTGGAAATCTCACACCAATTTAAAATGCAAAATTTAAAAAATTAACTGCAACAATTTTTTTTAAATCTACAAAAACTATCACAATGACAAACAAGACAACCAATAAAACAAATAAAGAAAACAGAACAAAGAATAAAAATAAATGAACAGATGACGAACTAAAGGACAATAAACAAATTATAAGAAACCCTGCATTTTAAAAACGCTTTTATAAAACATATTTCTGTTCGTGACTATTGTATTACAAAATATAAATTGCCAAAATCTCCCACGGTACTTGAGTCGACTATGAAATCCATTTCTTACGTTCTTACGTAATGAATGGGGTATCTTCTTTGCATTGTTGAGAGGGAAGTAAAAACATGAAATTGCAAAAGATTTTCTATAGAAAATCGATCGCTTTTTGAACACGTTAGGTCGATCATGATCGCATCTACCCAGGTGTCCTGCAAGGGTTAAAGGTACAATTCATTGCTTAATCACTTTCACTGTAATTCGATGATTGTCGATATAATCAAAGCTGGTATGGGTGGGCGGATACTAAATAGACATGGCAAATTTCTAACACATTTGTTTTAAACCTAAGTTATATTAACTCTATTAAATGTATCATTTTTTGCAACATTGCAAACTGATTTTCATGTTATTTAATTTATTTTTCTTAAACCAATGCCAAGTTAGATATAAGTTACTTTTCTGGCGGTGGCGGCGTCCTCAACATGTCAGTAAGGTTTTGGTTATGGTTTTTCATTCAAATTTATTTCCTCTGCGGGTATGTGATATGTATTTTTCACGTAGCTTTAAAAAAAATTTCAGTCATACTGCTACGATGCCTGAAGTGTGGCAGTTTATAGTGATGTCTAGCACTGGGCATCATGCCGCAGACATGTAGCACGATGTCCAACCCAGTCACATTATTCTGACACGAAGCTAACCAATTCTAACACTAACCTCTTAATACTGAGCGCCTAGAGAGACAACTGTTTGTAGTGTTACGCATCGGCTCGTTTAAAGTAACATAAAGAAAAGAGACAAGGCAACAAGTTTTGTAATTTTAACCAAAAAAAAATTGTTTCCCTAGATAACACGGTGAAAAGGTACAAATATGCAACAAGTCTTACAATTTACGATGAAGATCCAAAAGTTTGTCCTAAAATTGTGAAAAATACGTAAGTCCTGTGAATAAACAGTTCTAAATTGACGTAGTCTGAATCTCAATCCCGTTCCAAGATGGCGGATGATGACGTCAGATGCATGCTAACACAAATGTCCAGAATTTCTATTGTGAATCACAATTTGTGCTGTCCGGTTCCAATTTAGAAATAATTTCAGCAAATGTCTTTATCGAAAGCCAGTTGTGTAGTTCTACGGGGAAAATATTTATTTTTTAAAATATAGATGAAGTACAACTATCACCAATAACGAAACACACACATGCTGTTCTTCATACGTATTAAAAGAACAACTCTTTCCAGCACAGGAATACCTTCTTAAGGTATTAGAAACTCTATAAGATGGTATGATATGACTCTCTAAGATGTTAAAATATGAGTCTCGACTATGACTGACTATTTCGCAGGTAACCGAGTATTTTATGTACAAGCATGAAGAAATCACGAAGATTTCGAAATCTAGCCACATCGCAGTATAGAATGTCAACAAGTATAATTAGTAATAACCTTGGTCACAGTCAATCATTTACATAGCTATTTCCGACTATTTACTTAATATGACGAAACCGTCATGCAAAACTCATGCTTACGCGAGTCACATTTACGTTTTAAATAACACGACGTTTCTAACAAAATATCAGACCCTGCGAACATAATCATCATCATAATAAAAAATATATTTAACGAAATAAAATTAAATAAAAATGAAACTAAGAGTTCAATTTTTTAACACACACGTAATTTATCTATTGTGTGTGACAGTAGTATTATTTATAAGTCTGTAATGACTCGGCCGGATTCAATGCGGACGTTCTAACCACCTAGGCTATCGGAGCTATCTGATCATGATGTAAAAGTAAGAGATATTCCAAATATACAAGAGGGTTTTGCTGAAATTGTATTGTTTCAATTTGCGTGCATATCTATAACCATAGATGGCTTTAGGTCATTGTTAGGATGGTTAATCATGACGTTATGCCAACTGAGCGAGTCTTATATGGTATCACGGTACCAATTGCTTTTCCATAGACCGCAATGCTAATGTTTTGCGAAATAAATATACTTTCTATCCTACCTCAGCATGCATGTCACACACTGTCACAGAGAACAATGTTAGATTGTTAATTTGATAACATCGAAAATAGGTACTCCATTGCATTTAAGAGAGATAACTCTGCTGGAACTAGACAGGGGTAAGAGTTATCTAGTTACACCGAATACGTTTTCAGTCATGTGTACCACATTTTAAAAAAAAATCTTAAAAAAACATAAAATGTGATCTAGATATGAATTAATATAACTTCACATGTTGCCAAGAGGCTTAACTTTTTTAAAGCCTAACAGAAAGTACAATTCTTACATAATGCACCAATCATAGCTAGGTTTGTCATTTATTTCTGAATGCAATGCTCCCTACACCTTAAGCTCCGCCCACCTGGGGTTGTACAATTGGTACCGTTATACTATATGCTTCCTCTCCGTGTTGACCGTGTTATCAAGGTCATACATTTTACTGCAGTACAGTAATTCGATCCACATGCAGACCCGAACATTTTGTCATTTCTTTTTATTTTGTGTTTCGTTCTGTTTTGTTAGTTTGTCAGTATTTGTATTTATCTTGTTACTCATTTTCGTTTGTATTCCTAATTTAGGCCATGCGACTGAAGAATGGCAAGATTCGTCTCTGGTTATAGATATGAGACGAGAATTTTTAACTCTCGTTATGATTCATTATCATTATGACTAATGTAAGCAAAGTTTACTGTGTACAAGAAAATAAATTTAAACCTTTTATTGAAACACTGAGTGGAAGAACTGATTGAAAGTATCAGATAATAAAAATACAATGAATTAAAGGCTATATTTTTCATCCCCTCAACAAACTGAATCTTTTAAGTTGGATTGAACTTTTCGATTATTATTATTATTATTATTATTATTATTATTATTATTGTTGTTGTTGTTGTTTTTATTATTATTATTATTATTATTATTATTATTATTATTATTATTATTATTATTATTTAATTTTTTTGTACAGCGTACAGTCTCGTGGAGGGGCAACAGTCCTACAGCACTAAACTGGAGACGGAGCTGCGTAATTATCTCTTTACCGACTATGATGCGCTACAACGAC